GTAGTAATATTGAAATATTGTCCAGCCCTAGTCGGGCCAAAACCTAAAAAATCTGTGTAAAACAGACATTTTTAAAGCACATAACGGTCTAAAAAACAATAATATTTACTTGTTTTATGAGGAAATTACCAGCTTCAGTAAATATCTAGATACAAACATTTAATTTTATTTTCCTTCCCTTTTGTTGTGCTTTTTATTTTAAAAAAAGAATAAAAGGGGCTTTACTGTGAGATTGGGGAAGTAGAAGTGGGTCCTACGACTCCATTCATTCAAAAGCCTTCCTGCTTTGATTCATATAATGCTTCATATTAACCCGAACGGAAGGATTATAATTATTAATTTCGTGAAATATTACTTGTTTAGCTGTCGATGCTCTCACCCTGATCGTGACATGAAATATTAATTTTAAATATATTTTTTTAATAATAAGATTTATCTAGAAATTATGATAAATTGAAAATGCTATGATGCTAGCTAGCTAGGTATCAAAGCTCTGATCCAAGATGTCAACCCTTTCAACGTTAAGCTACGACATCTTATAACAGTGAATTAACTGACTATTCAAAGGCCAAACAAATTCTTTAGGAAATAATAAAAGCTGAACTAACCTGCATTTTTGTCAAGTAAGAGAGTCCCTTGAAATCACACCACTGCTCCTTCCCCTGACACGGAAACGGAAGGAGCTCACTGTGGATCATTCCGGAAGAAACCACAAATCCAAGCCTACTTCAAATAATTTTTACACGCGCAGTTAATGTAAAAAATAAAAACAACAACAAATATTTTTTACAACTAGGCACGTATTCTGTTCATCTACCTTACTGAAATGAGTAAACAACACAGCAAATTTAACGTGGAAACAACCCGGAAAGCTTCGTTGAATTGTACGACAATAATAAAGGTGACACCAACTTCCTGTGGAGCTCGATATAACCATATAAGGTGCGGCAGCGGGACATTCCAAGTGACAAACATGACAGGTGTTGATCTCTGAACGCAGAAAGAGAAACCCCATTTTAATTTACCGTCTGCTAAATTTATTCAACATTCAATAAAAAAAAAAAACAAAAAA